CAAGCACCCTTATTCACACAACTCCTTCAAAGATCTATCAGGTGTTTAAGTTATTAAAGCGCAAATTGAAGCTGACACTTCTAAAAACCTAAATGCAAAAGAGACTGGACTTCTCCTTTCAGAATATTGCTGATCTTCAGAAATGGCTAAAAGAACATAAAAGGAAAAATGCAGAAAAGAAAGTTAAGGGCAAATACTGCTAATGGAGACAAGCGGCTAGGAATAAAAAAATAGTTTTAAAAAAAATGAGGCTGTGACTCACTCTTAAGGACCAAAATTACACAAATCAATCGTGATGTTGGTAGTCTATGAGTGAGATACTTACCTGGATAACCGACTAATTGCCATTGTTCCCAAACGAAACACCCCTTCGAAAAAAAAAATGGAACAGTCCGACCCAAGGCGCCACGTTCGAACCGTCTCCCTAACAAATGTCCTCATTCCCTTTTCGACGTCTGTCTCTTATACACATCTAGATGTGTATAAGAGACAGCACTTAGACGGTCTTACTAAAGTCATTCCTCTAAGACCATTGCTATATAGCAGTCTTCTCTAAGACCGCTTTGAGTATTGAAATGCAAACAAGCACTCCCTGGTAACGTAAGATTGGGGGCGTCGTCATGCGTGCTCGACGTACGCAATTGTATCAAAATGAACTTAAATAAACGTAGACCTATTTTTACAGACGCTAAGAAGCGTGCGGAATTTTCGTCGTTCAATTCTCCGACTTTGACGATCTAGGCCAAGGTCTTGCCATTTCACTGTTGAATTAATCAGCAGAACGCCATGATGAAAATGATTTAAGACCGTTTTAAGCCTCCTCCGAGTAGGCTTTAAAATTTAAGATGGCTAACTGGTTAGACTGCGGTATAGCAATGGTCTATAATCATAGACCAGTATTGACGTCACTATTATAGCCGGCTAACCGTTAAGACCGTCTAAAGACCGCTTATAGCAATCCGCCCCAGGACTTTGAGGCCCAAAATAAAAAATACCTTAAAATGTTTTTGTACCTGTATTTCTACTTAGTAGAAACCTTTGCAAGCGATATGATGTTTGAATGTATATTTATCTCCAAAATAGGTTGGGTTTTATTACCTCCTCCGATTGATGGTTATCACAGAAAAAACAACAAAAGCATTTTACCCAAGAAGAGTAAATTGAGGCACAGCTAGCCTTTCAAATAAAGTGGAAAGAAAGCTGCAGGGCTGGTAAATGTGTGAAACTGTGGAATAGCATAGAAAGCACCATACATTTCCCTGAGGCATTTAAAAAAAATTCTAAACATACATGCTTAGTGTTTGTATATTTATTATATATGGTTTCTTTTTTATTACAGATCAATAAATTGAATGAAGATATTGCTAATGATACAAAGAAAAATGAAGATCTTGAAAGTCGGATGGCAAAACTTACGGTAGATATTGAACAGATGAAGGATACAGTAGATGCATCAAATCGAGGACACTATGACCTTAAGAAAAAGAAGGATGACTTACAAAATGACCGAAAGTAAGTGATCATCGGAATCTCATTTGCATAAGTATGAATGTTGATGATATAAATTTCAATTAAGTAGGTGTGAATATTGAATATATAATTTATACTGGTTACACATTGACGAATTTTAATAAGTGATGTTGGGATTTTTGTGTTTAGCGCCCTCTGGAGGCAAGAAAATACCATGCAACAGGAGATATCAACCACTAGAGAAGAATTGCATAAGAAAGAACAAACACTTAGATCTATGATAGGAAAAGTAAGTACATAAAAGATAATAAAGAATAATTGTTGTAAGTGTAGCTTCTTAACATGTTAACTGCCAGGCACACAAGAGACACTGAACTGGGTTCACATAGGACACCAAAATGTGAGTTCATGTCCACACCTGTCCAAACATACCACTATTGTATTGCCCATGAACTCGCTGGCAGTGTTCCTGGCAGTTCAGAGGAGAACCCAGTTGCAAGAGCATCACCATATGTTTGTTTCATTACAGTTGGTGTGAATAATTTTCATTATCCTCAGCTGAGTAACAGCTAGAGGAAAAATGGCTATGAAGCGAATGTGCCAATTCTATTCGGTTCCTCTACCAAATATGTTAACAATATTTAGACTTACATGAAGATGAGTATTAGGAATGCTTATTGTTGAAATAATTACGGTATATCAAGCCATCATAAGTTGAATTTTAAAATTGTCTTATAGTCTGTTTTACGAGGTATTGACAGCATTAAACGAATTCTGGAGTCGTTCAAAGCCAAAGGAATTCACAAAGATGTACAAGAAGGTTACCATGGTGTCTTGATTGAGAACTTTGAATGTGCATCACGGTTCAACACGTGTGTTGAGGTCACAGCTGGAAGCAGGTAAGCTGCAGCATGCTGGTTATATTCCCAATAGACATGCTTTTGATGGAACCTGTCTGCTAAATAGGAAATTGAAATGTCATTTCTATTAAATTTTTTCCCTTCTGAAAAAAAGTTCACTAGACAAAATATATAATAGATCCCTTATATAGTATAGCCAATCCTATTATGATAACTTTCTCATCTTCTACAGGTAATTCCATCACAATTAGTATTAGGGTGCCCTCTATAGTTCTGAAAACCTCAGTCTCTGAAGCTTCATTCAGTCAATAATTTAATCTTCAAAAAGTTCTCTTTTGTTTTTACCGGGCTTTTTTTTATTACTTACAATTATTTATAATTGACTCTTAAGCAATTTATATGTTTTGTTTCCAGATTGTTTTACCATATAGTTGATACTGATATGATCAGTACAAAGATCCTAGCTGAAATGAATCGTCAGGGTCTACCTGGTGAAGTCACATTTATGCCGCTCAACAGGTTAGAAGTCAGACCTACAAATTACCCAGAATCCCCAGTAAGTATGCCACATTTTAAACGGCTCAGTTATTTCCTTTAGTATTTTGAGACAATAATAAAGATGATCTAAATTGCCAATGTTTTCTTTTTCATGAGACATACTCATTTGTATCCATGAAGCTATGTTTGTTTAAATTACTTATGGATGGTTGATTTTAAAAATTTAACAAGAATTTCAGTCGCCAATCTGTCATCATCCTCAAATATGAAAATTTTTGTGTTTCAGGATGCTTTACCAATGGTATCAAATCTCAAATATGATTCTAAATATGATGTCGTGTTCCAGCACGTTTTTGGTAAAACATTAATCTGTCGAAACATTGAGGTTGCTACACAGTTCTCACGCACACACAGCCTAGATTGCGTCACATTAGAAGGTAAGTGCTCCGTCAATCAGGTATTTCACTCATCCCCTAAAACCAGATTTTCTTACTCTTTGATTCCTAAAATCATGATGGCACCATTCCTAAAAACCAGAGAGTTGCAAACAAAGGGGGTTTCTCTTTCATTCCTTAAAACCAGAGATGTTCTTACTCTCAGATTCTTAAAATGATGATGGTGTTGTTCTTTAAAACCAGAGAGTAATGAACAAAGAGGTTTTCTCTTCCTTTCCTTTAAATCATAGTCATACTCTCATTCCTAAAAACCAGATAGTATCATAATGGTCATGGTCACACAATCATGTCTTTAAACCAGATGGTGTTACTCTGCCACTTCTTTTAACTAGATGGTCTCATACTTTCATTTCTTAAAACCAAATGTTCCCCACTCAGATGGTCTAAGACAATTTTGCTTTTAATTATTGAAAGGTGACCAAGTTAGTCGGAGGGGAGCTATTACCGGGGGTTACTATGACACCCGCAAATCCCGTCTGGAGCTTCAGAGCAGCATTGTAGAGTTGCGCAAGAAGATGAAGACACAAGAAACAGATTATGAGGAACATCGTGAAAAGCTGCAGCAGATTGAGGTTGAGATCACATCCATGATGAGCGAGATGCAGAAGATTGAAACAAAAAATAGGAAGAATAAGTAAGAAATTATTGATGATATAGAATGAATTATAAATCATAGAGAGTATGAAAAGAGAGAGATAATCTATTTAAAGATGATCTTAAGGATTAATGCATGAATTTTTGTTACTTCAGGGATATTTATGAGCGGATGAGGAGTGATCTGAGAATAATGAAGGAGGAAAGCCAAGTGATCCAACGATCACTTCAACCCAAAGAGAGGCGTCTTGGGAGTCTGCAATCAAGTTTGGAAGCAATGAGAAGTACTCACAGCTCCTTAGATGAAGAAATAGGTAAAATACATTAATTAAAGAAATTAATGTACTGACAAATCAATTAGATGACAGAATAGAGGGGCTATTGATTATTTTTATTTTCAAATAGAAGAGACAATGGAGATAGCATAAATATAAAATTCATGGTATTGGTTTTTACCACAGTCTTCAATAAAATTATGTATGGAAATTCTTTCAACTAAAACTTTTTACATTATTAATGTGCACGGGGCAAAGACTAGGCCTATGTGTAATACTACAATATTTACATATCTGATTTTATTATATTGCACATTAATAGTCAAAATATTTTATGACAAGATGTAAATCCTCACAACCTTTCAAATATTTTAATTTTATCTGTGTTTTTCTTTTTTGAAAATAGGTACTGACTTGTTGTCCCAGTTGAGCGTGGCGGACCAAAGAGAAGTAGATAGTCTTAATGATGAAATTAAAGACCAGACTCAAATGAATAAGCGAGTGCTCAACGAGAGAATTAAGGTATGTGAATAATTGCCTTGTATTGATAGGTACTAGAGAGAAGATGTAGTGAGGGGGTTAGCAAGCTTTGTGTCCTTTTCGTTTCTGCAACAGAAGGTGCTTAGAAGGAATATCATTATCATGTACTGATATATGTATTGTGTTGAGAATCCTATTGGTAAAGCAATATATTTTTAGTAATATATATTTTTATAATTATTTGAGTTATTTCGAATAATTTGAAAGAATGAATAAAGTGAGTTAAAAAAAGAGACTTTTTATTCACAGTTGGAAGGTGAAAAGAACAGACTTCAGAATGTCTTGTCTGGAAACTTGAATCGTAAACGAGACCAACTGTATTTGGTGAGTAATTGTCATCATCATATTTGCTGTACTTAATTTTATTTTCTAGTAGCTAAACACAGATATTCTATGATATATATTTTCTTTTATTTATTTCTTTTTGTTGTTTTTATTTCTATTTCTGAATATAGTAGAAACCCTCATTTACGAACCCCGATTTAACGAATTCCCAATTTTACGAACGTAAAATAAAGGTGATGAGGTCATAAAAATTTAAGTGAAAGATTAAAAAAAAAGATCCGCTGGAATTGTAACTGTTATTAGCATGCATACAACACAACACACCATACTATACAGTACTATGTAATTCTCAAGTGAAGGAGGCCCTCTAACGGGCCTCTTCAAAGTCAGTGTTCTTTATGGCTTCACACATGTGCATGCGACAAATTTTACTTCTCTTTCAAACATCGTTTTCAGCTTTAAATTCAACATAGTGCTTGATTGTTTTATTGAATGATCAATATATATATCTATGGGAGTTTTGTTGGAGTAAAATCCACAATCTAGGTATTTAAGAAGGTAAAAATGTCTGATAAAAACAAATTTGTGTAGGGCCTAGAGTGGGATCAGAATGCTTGAAGCTGCCTACTGTAGGCCTAGGCCCCCTCAGACTTAGCTGCGTAGGCCTGTAGGCCTAGCCTAGGCCTAGTTTATGCCATTGTAAGTAGTACCAGTGCAGATGTATAGGAATTTGGGTCAACCCCGATTTTACGAATACCCGTATTTCATACCTACCAAGTCTCCCGCATTTGGCGGGAGTCTCCCGCTTTTCGCCCTAACCTCCAGCTCTCCCGCCACTAGCCTAAAATCTCCAGCTTTTTTAATAATCTCAAGATTTTTTATTAAAACCCACAATTTAATACAAAAATATCCAAAACGTGACAATTCTGTAGTTTTATAAGGCATATAAAATCTACGAAAGTTCTATCGCTTTGCGAAAATACAGGCCGTTCCGATAGTAAACAATGTATTCGTGTAAAATTAACACTGGTGGCGCTGTACATATTACGTCATTTCTATTTTAACTTTACGACCGCGATCATGCATATCAATACTTTCAGAGAACCAGAATCCGAAAATAGGGTCTTGGCTGCGCTTATCATCATCGATGCATCATCATCCAAATCCGAAATGTCGGACAGTGATGTTTCAAGCAGCAACGAGGCGGCCGCACCTGGTTCATCAAAGACAAATGCAAAAATGATACGCCAAAAAAAAAAGTACAAAACCAAATTTAATAATAAATAAAGTTAAGAGTTTTAACACTGAAATAAAGCTATAGAATTTTATTTTTCAAAAAATGTTAGTATATATTACCCCATTTTTAAGATTTAATTTGGTGCTCAGAGTGCACCAGAGAGCATCTAGGCCTAAAAAATTTCTCCATCCACAGCCAAACTCAAACTTGGCATGTATGGTATTTACGAACGGCTCTGGGCCTGTGCCGTACGTAAATGAGGGTTTCTACTGTACTATTATTTGTTATCCTTTGTAGGAGTTACAAGAAATCTGCGTTTCCGATAAGCGGCAGAAACTGGAGACAGCTACACTTGAGTTGCAGTCGTCTGAAGCCAGCATTGAAGCTAACAAAGCTAGACTAGAAGGTAATTCACGTCAGTCCCTGTATTCTTCCTTAGTATAAAGTACTACAGTGTACGTCACGATACCACATGATACTACTCCGTTGCTATCGGGGACACAGAATGCGTTAAACCGGACGCCATTTGCTCCACTGACAAACAATTGATACCAATTGCTAATGTAATTATTAAGATGTTGTATCTTAGTTTTTCATTGTAAGTGTTAATTAATGATTAAATGTGTGTTTGATAACTAATATAATGCAAGATTTTGTGTTTTTAGTACATTTTGATGGTAAATTATTAGGTTTTAAAATGCCTATTCCAGAAAGCCTATTCTAAACCATTGAGATAATGAACAGTAACCAACGCCTGGTTGACAACAAAGGGCGTCACCTGGTGTTGTGACGACATGACTGTTGTACTCTTAAGGATGAACCATTATGGAAAACTTGCTTAATTAGCAGAAAATTTGTATACAAGCTGAAATTCCTAAGTTGTGATATATAGTGTTATAATTCATTGCCTATGTGTAAGTTAAGCTCTATTTATATGCTCAAAATTGTTATAAAAATGATCCAAGCTTTGATAAAATTTGAACAAAAAAAAAACGAAATCGATACCATATAAAGAAAACAACAATTATTTACAGCGCACTTTGCTTCAGTATTGTATATCAGTGGGAATGATTAACTGATTTAAAAGAGCCAGTTAATGCTCTTTTTTTCATTTCAATCATTTTTACAGTTTTACGGAGAGATAAGCAAACATTTATTATCATTTGTTCTTGTAGATATTGAGAGTCAAGCTGAGGCCCTGAATCGAGAACAAGTAAGTCGACACAGCGATTTTGAGGAGTGGAAGCACAAGGAACGAGAGTACGGTGACAAAATCTCAGATGATGCTAAATCCCTTGAAAAGATGACGAATAAACAGAGCATGTTGCTGAAAAAGGTGTGTTATTTCAAACTAAATAATATTCTTGACCTGAAGTGCACTGTGTTCATCAAAGCTTGTTTTAATAATTCTTCTAACTAGTTCCTGAAGTGCTGCCTGTTAATATTAGGGAGCTTTTGATTTGTGGGACGACGCAACGCTAGAACGGAATCACTCATGCGTGACCGCCCTACCTGGCTTTCTCTGCATACGTAGATTTGGCCAAATTGCGTTCCAGAATCTACTTGACGAGGTGACCGTAACATTCTCGCATGCGCAGATGACTTTTAGTCACGTTATTACATTGTACGTCTTACCGTCGTCGTGCAATCAAAAGCTCCCTGTTGTTGATCATGTTATGTCAGTTGACCTTTGACATTTCTGCTGTGCCCCACCCCTTGGATATTATTGCTAAGGTCCCACAAAACAATGTGCATTTGTGGGTCAACACTTATGTTTGTGAGACATGCGCATATTCAGGGGTCCCAAGTTGGAAGAATCCATTTCCGGGAGATTCATTTAATGATATTAGGGGCACTATGAGGAAAAAGTGTAGGTACCAAACAAAGGGCCATGCCCACATCTGGGCTACCATGATTGGGGCTGAGTTAATGACCTTTTTTTTTTTAGAGTAGGCACCTTTAGAAGCCCGGAAATGGCACTGTCAGACTGCAAAAAATAATCGGCAACTAAAGTTTAGGCCTAAATAAAACAAAAAGATTTGTTTTTTACTGAATTTCTGGGAGGTTTTTGCTGTTTGTGGGAGTTCGGGAGACCATGCTGATTTCCAAAAGACTCCCGGGAGTTCCGGGAGACTTGGGACACCTGCATATTTGTGGCCCTGTTCTAATTGGTCAGGGGCCGGATTTATCAAACTAGAAATCATCTTAAGTTCAACTTAAGTCCATTTTTTTGCTTAAGTCAAATTTATCACAATTGCTTTAACTTAAAATGTTCATTGTACGCATGAACCATCTAAGACGATTTTTAAGCTAAGATTTTGCTAAGATGGTTTGATAAATCAGCTTAAGATATTTGCTAAGCTGAGATTGATAAATCCAGAGCCAGTTGTTCAGTTTGAGACTTTATAAAGGTCCATTGTCTTTTAAATTACTACCCCAACCTTTGGATCAGACATCTTTGGAACACATATTCTGATCTACGAGGAGTATTGCATTATTATATACCGACTACATAGATTCCAGTCATTTGGTTGGTTAAATGCCAGGTAATAGTTTTAGCCATGCCCTCTAATGCCTACAATTTATGTAGTGGTATATAAAACAAATATTTACTTGGTTGAAAGGCATAGTTCAAAATACAACCCGAAATGATCTAGAGGCTGTACTATGTTTCGAGACTAAATATGCAGCCAGTCATTCACAGGTACCCACTCCTTGGTTGGCATGAGAAAATTTAGACATAGTGCTTTGTCCAATGATTTGAACTCCCACTTTGGATTGGGAACCAAATACATAATGCTTCGTCACATACTGCAATTTTTATATTTTGTTTTGTTTCATTTTGTAGAAAGAGGAATGTATGCGAAAGATCCGTGAGCTAGGTTCTCTCCCAAGTGATGCATTTGAGAAGTACACAAAGTTTTCCGTCAAACAGCTATTCAAGAAACTGGAACAGTGTAACCAGGAGCTGAAGAAGTACAGTCACGTCAATAAGAAAGCGTTAGATCAGTTTATAAACTTCTCAGATCAGAAGGAAAAACTGATAAAAAGAAAGGAGGAGTTGGACAAGGGACATGCTGTAAGTTGCCAGAATATCTGTAATAACAATCACAATTATAATAATAATAATAATTTGCAATTTGTATAGCGCCTCCCGTTGGACCAACCTCGAGGCACTTGACAACAACGGAAAGAAACGGACAAGAAAAAAAAAAAAACCATGAACCTAGACTAACAGCACTCTAGACACCTAACCAAACCAAAGCAACACCACACCGTTTATCGACAATTTAAGGTGTGAAGCCCGTCAATGCATGGCTCACAGGTGCTCAAGTGATGGCGGTGTCTAGCTAAACAGTTAATGGAGAAAAAAAAGATTAAATAAACAAAATAGTGGTAAAAAGTGTCTTAAAGAAATTCAGCAAAACTTTCAGTGAAGAGGTGAGTTTTGAGTTGTGTTTTAAAAAGCTGAAGTGGGTCGGCTGTCTCTTATACACATCTAGATGTGTATAAGAGACAGGGTCAACACTTATGTTTGTGAGACATGCGCATATTCAGGGGTCCCAAGTTGGAAGAATCCATTTCCGGGAGATTCATTTAATGATATTAGGGGCACTATGAGGAAATTTAGTGATTATCCCAATGTGATCTCACCAATGATGCATCACAATTTCTGGAAGGACTCCACAAATATGCAATTAAATGTTTTGATTGAATTTAAATGTAGAGTTTTTCTAGATTTTGCTATTCAGACTATTTAAAAAAAAAATAATCTGTGTTTAATGTCACTGTCAGTGTCCTAACAGCACAACAAATTAACGTCACACAGCCTTCTAATTCACCGTGACTTACTTTACCATCGGTGTCTCTTAACCTTAGTAGTAACAGCCAGGTTGCACGATTCTCCCTTTAATTGCATTTAGTCTAGCATCCGATCAGCTTTTTTCACCGCCCTTCCATCTTTCATCAACGAAAATTAAATGCCCATTAAACATGTCAAACACAGTTGAAATAGAATGTAGCTTACTTTCAGTGTATTAATAAGGTATGGAGCAATTTGTGATTGATTTAAACATGCGATTCGTTATCCATGTTGATGGGTGTCTTGTGGTCTAGTACAACTATTACATACACAGCATTGCAAGCCCAATCCATTAGGGATCATTTCCTGTAGTTAAATGCAAGGAAGCCAGTATTTTAAGCTTTATGAATATTTGCTTCCGTTAAGTATTTGAAATATTGAAAACTGAGGATTTCAGTTTCAGTGGAAAATTCTTTAGAAATTCAATAAAAAAAATACACGGCCTTTGCTAATTTGAATGAGTTACTGGCTTTCATTAAGACAGAGAAAAAACAAAACATGAAAATTCCTTAATTGATGAGCTAGATGTAAACAATATAGGAAATGTATTATTTGTAATGTATAATTTTTCTGAATTGTCAATGAAAATATTTTCTATTGTTTTCAATGGGAAGCTAAAAACACAAAGTACTGTATACCTTAAAATATGTTTTTAAATGTATGGTCTGGTGCAACAGAATTATTGTGCTATATTTTTAATTTTAAAACAATCAAATATTTTCTTGTATTTTTGTAGTCAATTGTAGACCTGATGAATGTACTTGAACATCGGAAATATGAAGCCATTCAGCTGACTTTTAAACAAGTGTCTAAATACTTCAGTGAGGTGTTCGAAAAACTTGTTCCCTCAGGAAAAGCAACACTAGTGATGAAGAAGGGCGAAGCAGAAACATCGGTATGTACTGCAGATTATTAATCTATATTTTTTAACCATTAAGATATTAGATATCACATAGATAGTTCTGAAAAGAACTGTATTGTTGAGATATTATCCAGATTTTATTTCCCTGATGATGATTAAAGCATCAAGACATTCTCAACAACAGTGGTAACGCAAGCATTTAACACATTATTACTTAATTATGTGTGTTAAATGTAGCAAATAATTGTTTATTTAATATTGCAGGAAGGTGATTCACAGACTGGAGTTCCACTTGTTGAGTTATTTACAGGTGTTGGCATTAAAGTAAGTTAGCTTTTTTAAATAAATTTTATTTCTCTTTACTTATTACTAAACAATTCTATGTATATTCAGCTAGATAGTCAAACAATTAATTTTCAGGTTTGTGTATTGTGTAGCTAATTTTTAACTCCCCACCATCTAATGTTTAAAAATTCTGAAAACTCATTTTTGCAGTCATTCATAAGTTACATTCTAAATAAACAGTATAAAGTGCCAATAAAATAAAACACCATCCTTACCAGGTGCTATACAAATCTTACAATTTGTCATTAAAATTATCAAAATTTTCATTGATTGTGTAAAATTTCAGACTGAACAATTAAAAACATTAATAATTTTTTAAAAGTGCTTAAATTTTAAAATATTTCCTGTTGTGGTTTGCCGTAGTCTCTTTCTAGGCAGGGGTTCATCTAACTGTGTTATCATTGTAAAGCAGTCCGTAGCATTGCTGTTTAAATACATATAACCTGCAGCCAGGGGAAACGCAGAGAAAATACTATGACTGAGGACATATATCCTACAGGATGTCCACTAATTAGTACGAATTTGTCAACGAGAAGGTGGCAGTCGCCCAAATGGACTCCAATGTAAAGTTATCAAATCCTAATTATAGTGCTGGCTGCTAACTAATACCACCTTCCTACATGATCAAATTTTTTTTTATACTTTCAATAAAAAAAAACCTGTTCTACATGGACCGATGCCTTTTAAAACTCAGAAATAGCTTCTATTAAATGCCCTTTGTACTCATAATCAGGATCAGGAACTTCCATTAAAAACCCCTCCTACTAGATCTGATGCTTGTTATATTCAGGAATATCTTCCTTTTGCAGTGCTTTGAAATATGTCAATTCTATTTTTCAACTCAATTTTGTCCTGTCATTCTTATGAATATGTTAATTCTATTTTTCCTCTCAGTTTTTTCTTTGTCATGTTAAATTTGTATTCTGGTGAAGCAGCTCATCTTCATTGAATATCTTCCTATGAAAATACACACTGATTCTTTTTTATAAATAAAAATAAAATCAAATTATTTCTTTGATATTGAGATGTGTGTCATGACATTTTTCACCTCCCATTCGTCCTGTTATTCTCTTTATCATTTCTTTTCCCTAAACAACCCAGAAAATAAATTCTGTCAATGCAATTCATTATTCATTATTGTACAATATTTCAACTGTTCCTTTGTTTTTCTCGCTCAGATTTCATTTTCGGGAAAAGCTGGTGAGACAAAGGAGATGCAGCAGTTGTCTGGAGGTCAGAAATCATTGGTTGCATTGACGCTAATCTTCGCCATCCAAAAATGTGATCCAGCGCCCTTCTATCTGTTCGATGAGATCGATTCTGCACTTGACGCCCAGCATAGAAAGGCTGTAGCAGGTAATGGTCATCAATTCAAACCCCTCCCCCTAACTCAGCTGTTAAATTTTACCCCAAGGTTTATATACCAACCTGCATTCAGCTGTTCAGTTACAGTTACATATATTTTACTTAAATATTTGTTGAAGTAGTAATAAAATTTTTGTTGTTGGGTGAATCGAGTGGCCGAGCGGTAAGGCAGGGGGCGACGCTAACCCAGGGTTAGGTTGGTAGATCTTGAAATAAGGACTTAAAATGGAGGTCCAGTGTATACATCTGGCTCGTGTGAACTTTAAAGAACCCATTGCATCTTTCGGAAGAGTAAGGGGTTACCCCGATGTTATGGTTCATCTTAGTCTGTGTCTTTGTGGAATAATGTGAACATGTAGCTACCATGAAGCGCCTGTTTACGGTTGCTAGTTAATCACGGACCGCGCCCATACGCAATTCAGCACAATGACAAGTTATGGGTTATTTTCCTACATTTAACTTTTTCACCTTTACCTTTGTGTAATGCACCGGCCTATTTATATCCTCTTGCACAATCCCTTGTTTTGTTTTTTTGGCAAAACCCTGGTTATTTATAATTAAAATCAGCTTTGTTTCATGTATGTTATTTTAAACACTACATTTTTATACTTCTTTTTAAAATGTTATAAGCCATGTACTTAAGAATTGGAACTAGATAGGCCATGTTGATGTTAGTGATGACAGAAGCTTCATGGTATCTAAGCAACCACAACATGTATCATTTCTATAGTGAAAGCTAAGTCCAATGAGTAAAATTTTGCAGGTGTTTTACTCAAGGGTTCAATTCCTTCTGTGGAAGGTTGATAGGCAGTTCCAGCAGTCGAGGTTCACGGAGACTGTCCATAGGGAGTCTGAGCATTAGTTCATTTATTGGTACCCTTAAGTTGGCTCTCCAGGCCGTGGTGTCTTTAATCAAGCCCTTTCGTGTCATACTGACTCAGCACTCTGCAATCCACAACAGTTGCAATTTAGCCGCAATCCAAAATGGTTAAAATTTAACCACAGTCCAGAACCATTTAAAGCTTTCTAGTTTAAATCAAAATCAGATTCTTTACCCATGAGAACATATTTTTACTTTTATTTTATTTGTTTTAACAAACAAGAAAAACCAGAAAAATATCAAATTAAAAAAAAGTTATATGATTAATTAAGGCAAAATTTAGGATAATCCTAGGGAGAGGAAAGAAACGGAGTAAACCACTGTTAGCTACAGGATATGCTACTTCAAATATTATTAGTTGTCGAAGACAAAATTTGTAGAAACTTCTTTTAAAAAAATCAATTTAAACACTAAAGTGCTTGTGTGAAAGAATCAAACAAAGTTACCAACAGCCAATTAGAAACAATTAAGTTATCGCTGATTTACAGTCGTTTCTGATGCTCAAATTGATTACCAGCTGGGTTAAATGTCTCTGCAAAAATATTTCAAAAATTTATAAATTTCTTTCTCTGTCTACCTTTCAGTTGAAATCTGTATAGGAAATATGTGATCTGTGTATTATTCATTATGTTGGCTTATAATTGCATATCTTACAAATTTTTGTTTTCCTTGATATTTTTTATTGTTATTTACCGTGAATTCATTTAGAATGGTATTCATATGTGTCTGTATGTATCCTGCCTAGTTATCTAAAATACTAATCTTAATTTTATCATGATTCCTTTACAAGACATTTTTGTTCTTGGCAATTCTCATCAGATACTGTGCTTTCTACCACCATCCAGCTTAACAAGCAATAGGTATTCCCTTCCTCCCCTTGGCCTCTTTCCAACCAATCTTCTATTGCATTTATCACAGTCTCTTGTGTTTCAGTATAAACCAAAAAAAATTATTTTGGTTTGCCTCAATTGTCTTGCTATTATATGTATGCTATATCAAATATATAGGTTGTCACATTTGATTTACCTCGTCATTGTTCACACCTATGTGTCACCATTACAAATCAAAAATGTTTTTCAGGTTTCATTGTCATTATGATTGGCACACAATGGAACCATTGTTGTCAATCATCAAATAATTATTTATAATGATGGCAATTATAAAATAATGAATTATAATGTTGTATGGGAATTATTTGATCGGTTTCTAATCAAAAAGTCAGTTTAAGCATATACGTGTAACTAAATACGTTGGCTCTGATGTATATGCAAGGCATGTCCAACAGTTACCTGTTCCCCTGAGAGACTGTACATTTTGTAATAAATCTATTAAATAATATGTTATAAATTTCAACCAGGTGTCAAAAACATATAAAGCCATTTTATATTTCAGTCTAGTTTTGAGGAAAATTGATATATTTGCCAATAAGGTTTCAAATTTACCACATGCTATTCGGTATTTTTAATGTTTGTTCTTTTGAGGAATGCATGTGTATTTGAAAGTTCAAAATTTACCAAGTATATACTTTTAATAGTAAAACAATTGTTCATTAAAAGGGATTAAAAGTTAATAAAAACTCCTAATAAGCACAGCACAGAACAAAACTATTAAGTTTTTTGCAGATTTACAGACTTTGATATAAACAAGGTCTCGTAATGTCGTAGCTCTGATGAGGGCAGTATAATAGAGGCAGTAGAGTATATTGGCCCTAACGTCCGCCCATACAAAAAAGATCTATTAATCAATCAGCAAAAAGATCAATGAATCAGCTTGGTGTTCCTAGAGCTCCTCATTGGAGCAAAAAAGATATATTAATCAGCCGAGTGTTTCTAGAGCGTTTCATTGGACCTAATAAAAATAATTAAACGCTACTCAGCGTTTAACGTTTAAATTTTTAAATGAGCATTTTAAGATATCTGAAAGCTGGTTGACAAACAAATTTGGAAGAGCTAATAAGATTGACATTTTTAAATAATTAGGATGTTTATTTGTAAAAAATTAAAATGTCTTAAAAATGAAAAAAAAATGTCTTAAAATTGAAAAATTTATAAATTGAATACCAAGACGCGACTAAAACTAATAACCTTTGGTTCCTTAGAACTAATTTGTCACTGACCACGCCATCCATGGAACATGTTGTATTTGTTATAAAGGTAGTAATGTACTGTACAGTCCTTTCTGAAACCCCTGTTTTGAAAGTGAATGGTGCACCCTGGGGTCCAACTTTTGTTGGAAATCACCTCTAGTTGATGTGTAACAACAACAACATTAAGAAGTGAGATTCAGCTGAGTGTTTCTAGAGCTTCTCATTGAAGCTAATAATAAAAATAAAAATAATTGGAACTAATAATAATAATAAAAATAATTGGCGCTAAAGGCCGCCCATACAAAACAGATCTATTAAGCAATCAGCCGAGTATAGCTAGAGCTCCCCATCGGAGCTAAAAATAAAAAATTGATCTTCAGCCAATTTACTTTGGTTCTTTTCATTGACAAAAGAAAATATTTTTGCATGCTGGTTTGTTTTTTCAATTGAATTGAAAGCTATACTAATAACTCAATTATATTATATAGAAATAAGAAAGTAATAACATGTAAATATTGAATTTTATTTTCAAGATTATCTCTCTCTTTACCCTTTTGCTTCTGAAAAACACAACCACTATTCAATTACATAATGAGTGGGTAATTGGAATTTTTTTTAAAAGAAGCACAGCTAGTTAAGTCTAGCCCCAATCACATATCTATTTTAAACAAAAAATGGTGTGGTAATTTTGAATTTACCAAATATAATGCGTTAGATTATAATAATAATAATGTTCTGAGGCTTAGAATAAATGAATCAAAAATCACTTTTCATTGTAATCAAGCAATAAGTAATCGGTGTAAGATAAATTTTTATGTAGTTTTACTAATTACTAATATGAAGAGTCTTACATCCCAGATAAGAAGCCTAGGATATAAAAAAGGAGATGGTTTTTCTCAATATTCATATTTATTAGCGCATGGTACAAACAGTTTCAGCTCAACCTAAGTATATCTTGAGGCTTATGACATTTTTATATGCTTCTCAACTGTTTTTACTCATGCTTCTTGTAAAACTAATTTGCTGAAATAGGAAACCCATTAGGGAGATTACTACTGTAGCCCATTCACTAACAGATGTCATCTCATATTTTCTATGCTTGTTAACATGGTTTTTCCTTGCCTATAATTACTAATGTTGCTCTATTTTCTGACAGATATGTTGAAGGAACTCTGCGGAAATGCCCAGTTCATCACCACAACATTTCGACCTGAGCTGCTTGACTCAGCCGACAAGTTCTATGGTGTCAAGTTTAGGAATAAGGTGAGATTAATACTATTTTGGGAATACTTCAGGAAATTGCAAATTAATAAGATGTTCCGTTTGGTTTAGTTTCTGTAGCGGTCCAAGAAGTTAATCACTAAATTATTTTTAAGAAAACAATTTTTATTTTTTATTTTAAAGATTGAAGTTGCTTTGCAACCTTGTAATCTTTCAAGATTTTTAGAGTTTTTTATTATATTTTTTGTTATAAAATTTACTATATTTCTCTTTTTATATAATTGGCTGCTAATGTAGAATTTTTTGTCCTAGAATAAGTTACAAATAATTAAAAAAAGGATAATTTATATGTGGATTATTGGTATGATAAAGGAAAATGTTTATATCTATTTCATCTGTAAATTAGTATAAATTATAGTCAAATAAAAAAAGTGTAGTATTTGGACTAAAACATAAGAACAATAAGGCTACATTCACACTTAAGACTCGTGCCAAGCGTGACTCAAGCCTGGTGTAATTTCAAACCTGGCATAGTCTCGTACCGAGCATGGACATGTCGGGCTATCCACGGATTTGAGACAGTCAGCCAAGAGAGACAATGGTGAATTTCTAACCTGAAGTTACTTGCATCACTGTAACTTAATAAATAGTAGTCTCTAGGCCAAGATGTTGTGGATTTGGCTCACAGTTTTTCCAAAATCCAGGTTACCGGGAACGATGATGAATGAAGGTCACAGCGTGACGTCATCTATCTACCAGTTCTTAGGCAAAATGTTCAAGCTGGGTGAATGTACCTGTTGTGAGCTGCAAATGTGTTTCTCTAGGCTATCCATAATATTACGTGTACCTTTTCAAAATGTTTAGTTCCTTCCAATTTTCTTGGCATTTTTTTTTTTTTTTTTTAAGTATTATATTTTATTTTTATTCTTTTTATAGGTTAGTCACATTGATGTGATCTCTCGTGAACAAGCCAAGGACTTCTTAGAAGATGACGCAACTCATGGTTGATTGAAACGCCCTCGCTGTTAACTCCACCGATAACACCACTACCCTCAACCGAATAGCTGCATGTTACCTGACAAACAGAAAAGTGATGTGATGATTTCAGTTTGAAATATTTACGAGAAAATGTCAATATTATTAACATGCTTGTATATTTATTACCTGAAGGTTTGGTTTATAGTATTGAAAAAAAAAACATCACAAGTTACTAAACTTTTCTATCAGCACTTTAGGCTAATGGGTATTGTTAAATAGGGTCTATGTTGTCACTCTAGTTTATGTAGTATTGTAAATATTCAATGAGTTATTAGGGTTATACTAATAACAATTGTGATTTTATAAAATTCACAAAAGTTACTACAAACATCTGGTTCCCCCTCCCCCCCCCCACCCCCACACAGTGTCTTAGTCTTTAGGAACTGTTTAATTTGTGGGTCTAAATGATTTGATTTTAAACATTACCATACTTTTATTTGTGTGACATTCCAATTCTTCCTAAAATAAATAAAAAATCATTTTATAAATATTGATACATACTGACTTAAGGAATGTACTAATAATTTTCCTTTAAATGAGTCTTCAATTCAAGAAAGTTTTAGACCAAGCAAATAATTATTTGCTCATATACAAATTTTAATGGTCTAAAATGTTCAAACCTAAGTTAATTTCACACACTTTTTATGCCATATAGCCAACTTGTTACAAATAGTTGTTTCCTGTTGTATTTTCATTGCATTTACTGCAAAACTTGATAAAAACCTTGTCTTTTATACTTCTAATTTCATAATTCACTTTGTGCACTCATCAATCAATAAATCAATCTATTTAAAGTAAATTGGATACTGTTAGGTAGGTAATTTATCCACACTTAATGTGATAGAATTATGTGTTATTTTGCAACTACTGATTCAGAATATACCGTGTTAGAATTTCATAAAGTTATGGTTGTTTATCATTTAACAAACCATATACCCACATTTTGAAACAATTTTTTTCAAACAATTGTAAATGTCTATTGTTGCTGTGTTGAAACTTTTATAGTTCATTACAAATCCTTGTGATTCTGTCATGATGTTTAGCTATGTACTAATGTAAATATTATTTGTTTTAATAATTAATGTTTGTAGTTTCATGTCATCCCCCATTAAGATTTGGTGCCATTTTTGGTTATGGTTTATATTATTATTATTTTTATTGTTATATCACTGCTGTTGTAAGAATAATATTATTAGATATGAGCTTGGGGTTGTATAAGTTTGTGATGTAAATATTGATAATTTTTGCATTTATGTAGTTATTCAATATAGGGTGCTGGTGTAAGTATGGGCATTAATTGGTGGCAAATGGTATCTCAATACAATAGACCCCTTGCTCTGATTACATTTTTAACGGACGGACTTAATGCATTAGTGCGCCAATAGCCTTGGCAGGGAGAAAAATAAATGCTAACCAACAACAGTGAGGACCTTCACTTGATTTTACTAGAAACAGACATTTATAATTACATCCATTGTTCACCCATCAAGTGGACCACAAGTTTAAACTGTATATGTTATGTTGCCCGTAGATTCCCGAATGGCACTCCTAGGCTAGCGTTGTCTGACTTAGAAAGTTGTTTTTTATTCATGTGTTCCCAGACAGATTTTACCACTACTGAGAGAGGTGTCTCGGTGGCTGGGCCCACATCCAGCTGGTGGCTTACCTGCTGGCACTGACCCTGGAATTACACGAATTTCGTTAATGTTGTTTGCATTCTCCTTGTAAAATGAAGGAAAGATCTTTTTCTGTGTAATTTCGTGAACCATGGCTGTCACTTTGTGGACACAACATGCGTAAAGTGCATATATGTAAACACTGCAAGGATTAATAAACCCTGATACTTTAAGAATAATAGGTCGGATCACTATTTCTGTTTGCAAATCCATTTTTTTTACACAGACACACTGCGTGTGCTTTATTTTGTGTACATGTAAACCAATTTGATTTTTCTTCATAAATTGCAAATTAGCAAATATTTTTATTACATTTGTCTAGTTACTAGCATGTTTATTGTTAAATATTCATTGATAGTTATGTTACTGATATTAGATTCGTTGTATCGTAGAGGTGATTGTAAAATAACCTTGTTGCCAAGATTTCATTTGTTAGAATGATAGCCAAGGAAATTATTATAGAACTTGAACATTGATCACCATAAAGTTGTGTTACATAGTGAATTGCATGTTCCATTGTACGGAATAAAGTTTAAAAACATTTCTCAAAATAGCCTGTGTATATTCTGGAAAAAATGAGGGTATTTTCAAAATAGACCTGTCCGCTAAGCCCCGCCCCTTGGTTATTGTTGCCAAGGTCCTACAAAACGACAGTGTAAAAAGATACGCAAACACGTGCGTTTGAAGGACAGCACATGTTTTGATTGGTCAGTTAAGTTTGATTGATAGGTCCATTGATGTATGTAGTGAAATTTATGGTAGTAGTGGTTGAGGTTGAACACTAAATCGCACAGACGCTTGTGTGGGCAAAATTATTACAGTGGTTGTGGTTTCGACTCCCACCCTGTTGAAGTTGTTGGTTCCAACCCCTCTGCTGTGCATTTTGATTGTGGCGAGCCTTTTTTTATACCTTGTTTCACAACTTTCTTTTTTAAAGCTCGTCAAAGGAGGGCAGGGAAAAAAAAGCAATTTAATAGTTTTGCCAAGAACATCCAAACGGAGAAAATAAAAATAAAATTTTATTGGTGAATGCAAACAGTGTAGTAATGGGATGGTTAAATGCTTTTAATTTATATAATTAGAAAGAAATATACATTTCTTATTTTTGAAAATTTCAAGGTAGCAGCAGGCGTAAAAAAAATAAAGAAAAATTTTTTTAATGGCATTGGGTACACTGATTGGCCAGAAAAAGAATTTTATTTTTATTTGAAAACTTCATTATTTGTGGGCGGCGGCAGGTTCGATAAGCAAAGTATAAAAAAAGTCTCGCCTTAGGAAAAGCACATCACAATTGCCTCATGTGATTATCTGGAAGGTTGGAACACCACTGCGCGAGTGTATCTTGGAATACAGATCTGGGAAGGGGCTCTAGCTGGGGTTTTCAGTGTAGGGATGAAGGGTGGACCCTCTGGGATACAAATATTTCGGGGGAGTGTATCCTTTAGATGTGAAACAACACTACACGGATTACTTGTCGAAATATGTAAATTCTACCCTAAAAACTAAGTACCTTATATGCTTTATAGGTGCTTGATCCGTTTAGTCGAAAAACGCTTTGAACCCAGTCGTTGAGAAAAACCACAAATTCGTGGAGAAAAGAGTTATTAAATAAGCCTTTCAAACAGGCTAAATTGCCATATTTTTCCGGAGCTTCGCTGTAAGGATCACTTTCAAAAGATTTTAAGCAATGCCCAAGCACAGCCACTTCCGTCTCGATGGGACATCGGCCCACCCCGTCGTGGACCTCAATCCCCCGTCGGGCAAACCCTGTTTGAACTTTGACATGCATAGAGTGGTCAGCTTTTACTTTCTTTTATTTATTTAAGTCAACTCTATGTATCTTACTCTTTGATTTGTTCTTGTGGGTATTCTACAACAATAAGGAGATTCTGCAAACTTTACGAAAACGATAACGAATACTAATACGTCATTATCGTTATTCGTGTCTAAAACAGTCTTGACAATATGCTGTACGAGCTGATGTTTGATTGATGTAAAATGCATGAATCGCCTACGTTGTGACAAATATGTTACTTATGGGAAAGGTTGTCTAAAACATTTGATGACAACCGTATTGGTTATCGTTATCGTTTGGGAAAAATCCCTTTTTAGATATCGCATCGATTTTTTTCTGCAATTTTGTTTGGAATGATGCACTATATTGTACCGTATATCGCAACGAAATGCAATAACATCGCGACGCTGTAGTCTGCTTATAGAGTTCTAACAGTACGTTTTTACGCTAAAAAAGCAAAACACTGGGTCGTAGCATGGAGTTATAATTATTAATTATAACTCCATGGTCGCTGTGAAGATCTCCTGCGTTTGCGCCGGTTTTCCGCTTGCGTCAGAGCATCATCGCGTATTCGTATTGTGACTGCATTGTCGCTGTGTAAGAATGGATAATTAGTCAATATTAGCAGTATTAGTAGGTTCTCTGCTTGAAATAAATATCACAGCATGGACGCAAGTATACTTGTTACCACTTGCTCTTTCAACCACACCAAACCCAACTTTATCCACACTCCACATGTGTAGACTTACAGTACTTTCATCGTGAAGCTTCCGAAATATCTTCAATAACGTTCAATCATAGATAACCCATTATTGAGTCGGGTACTGTAACCTTGTATCGAATTAATATGCTAGTTTTCAGTTGATGTGCTCCCCGGAAGTTTCAGAGGCCGTGGAGTCCAGAAATAGATTTTCATAGTAGGCCTATGGTACGGTAAGTTTTTGATTCTTGTTTTCATTTATCTACCGTACTGAAACAACTAGGTCCTACTTGGAATGTTAAATCTGACTTGGAGACTGTGTCGGGTGTATTTAATTATGGTTGTCTGGAAAATTATCCAGACAATATTTTTTATTCCGTCATTTCCTCGACTTGGCAACACGGCGAGCTACTATTCAACATTTGAACTGTGGTTTTACAGTACCAAGCAATTCATTAACCCTTCACATGTGTTAGAAATTGCATGCCTGCCGTTTTTGTTCGAGGTTCGACGGAAATACTAGGCCTATATATTCTTTATTGTCGCATACTCATTCATTCAACGAAACCTTGTTCTGCCATCATTGATTGAAGGAGCTCATTATGAAACTGTTATTCAAGGAAAAAAAAACAACCTGAAAAATGTAAAAATAGAGAAAGTATACCATACGTTGTATTTCAGTTGCTTCAATAACCATAATATATAGAGAAAGTGTTTATTATATATTCCGCTACCAGTTTCGTATGGTTCGGTTGTTACTATTTCGCGCCCTATGGCGGTCAACAGACAATTGACTACCTTATACCATGGAGGCATAAAAATATTATATTTTTATACCTCCATGGTTATACCCATTTGTCACCTTCAATTCAAATTAATCCAATTCACTTTTACAACAGTGGCACACATAAAAAAAAGTTTTATGGTAGCATCCGAAATAATTTTAAAAACTTAATTATAGATACGAAAGAATGTTAAACAATAGGCCTACGTAGTTAATCTTAAACAGATCTTTAAACATTTAAAATTAATACAGTATAGTAAAAGAGGTTTGCAATCAAATAAAAATCACAGTGCATGTTTCAAATGCAAATTTACGAACTTGTTATAAACAGAAGTGGTACAAAAATGAAATGTTAAAACACATTAAATAATCCTTAATAAGGACTAGATATTTTTCCCAGACTTGTTGAGGTGGTAATTAAATTAACAAAATGTTTCTTTCTTTTATACATTCAATTAATTGTTTACAGTTAAAATCAAAAAGCCATTATTAAACTTTATTATTTAATTTAAACATTAGATAAATCATCAAGTAATAGGCCTAAGTGGCGTTTACATTCCTTACACATTTTTTCTCTCTTTCATTGTAATTAGATTTTGTTGTGACGGCACTTTGTGATGAGCTGGTTTTTTCGTGTTGTGTTCTTTCATGATAGGATGGATATTATTTTATTATCAACTATGCTGTATTTGCCCTGATTTGCGCATGTGTGCTTAATTTCTTTAGGAGCATGTCTAAGGCCCCATAAAAAATATTAGTTTATCACCCTGATGAGGGAGGGAGGTTTTCTTTTTTTTTCCTAATCCCACCCCCACTTGTACCAGTAAACATATTTGCAAGAAATCTTGAGCTTTCCAAGTCAAAAAAATACCCACCACCTAAATCGGGCAAGATAATTTTACAGAAGACACCAAAATCAATTAGATGCGCCATTCAAATGACTAAATTGTCGGGCCTTACCCCTTAGACTTGCCCCTGGTCACCTGGTCACGTCAGGGCATTCATTCCGTCCTCGGCAACATCGATTTCCACTCCCTTCCGTTGGGTAAATACTGTCGCCTCCACAACAGTTATTACCATTACTGTTTCCAATTTATTGGACCTTTGTTTATTGAAACTTTGATGATGATAGGGCCTTAGCTATAATAATAATAATAGAGTTTTATGAAAAACAACTGCCAGTTTCTCATGGGTGGCCCATCCGATACATGTCCACCGACTGCTTCTGTGATTATTCGTTTCACTTTCACAGGCCTACACCCATAATACCAACATAATTACCGTGATCCCCTCACGAAATACCGTCAGTTCTATATTTAGCTCCTGACGTTCCGTGTGAACAGGTAGAACGCAATACCACATTCCATAATGTATCTTCCACTATACAAACTGAATAACTATTCCAATTATGCTGTCAGTTGATGAACTTTCCATTCCTAGGCCAGCATGTTGCCAATTTTCTACCCGTCACTCGACCGTACTCTTGCCACCGTGATTGTCGCTAGCAATTGCGATCAAACGTTCGTTTGTTCTCCCACTTTTGATCTGGAAAATGAAGACAGATTATGATTTCATTTAAAATAGAACTGGGAGACAAACTGTACGAGAGGTTTTTTTTTTAGTAAATTGGATTACTTCCAGAGAAAAAATTAAGAATGGAATGTGATGAATATGTACATATTGCCTTAGTACGATACATAAAGTCAGTTTAGTTACGACAAAGTATACTATTATAACATTGGCCTATCTGTGAATAGGGCTTCACCATATGAGTTCATTTATTTATAATATTTATTCGGGTTAAGTATAAACCTAAAATTAGCTTATGAAAATGGTGATCTTGATTGTGGTGATGATGATGATGGTGGTGGTGGTGGTAATGCGGGTGGTGGGTGTGATACTTGTGGTATAATAATGAAATGATGGTGATTATCATTATAGTGCTTATTTTTGGTGGTGGTAGTAACCATTACGATGATTTTGATGGCCGGTGAGAAGGAGGATGAGGATTTTAATGATGGAGATGAAGATGAGAAAAATGAATGATGATGATGAGGTTGATAATACTGATTATTACGACGACGATGATGATAGAAGGCTTAATAATGATGGTGATAGTGATGATATTGATGAGGACGACGACGATTATGATGAAGGTGTTGACAATGATTATTGATAATTGTGATCTTAAAGGATGATGGTGATAGTGATGATGATAATAATAATAATAATAATAATAATAATAATAATAATATAATTATTATTACTATTATTATTATTATTATTATTATTATTTGTCACCATAATATGTAACAGTTTAGATGATTCTATGATGACGACATAACGAAGCGATAAGAAAGGGGATGACGGCAGTGATGAAGAGGATGAGGGCATGAATGATGATGGTAGTGATATTGATCGTGATGATATTGATAATTATGATCATCATCATATCGATGACAATAATGATGATAATGATAATAAAGATTGTTTTGATGATAACAATGAGAGAATATCATTTTTCATCTAGTATTTCTAGGCAACACGCGGCGGCTAATGGGTTTATTGCCGTGGCCCCCGGATGGACAAGAGGTCTCGTGATCAGTTATTGATATGGTAATGTGATATACATTTTTCCATTTGGGGACATGACCTATTTGATTTAATAGTATCCCTGTTGAGGCATTACAGGTGATGACGCTTAATCCTCCAGGAGTTTGTTTGGTCACGTGTGCCGTCCATCAGCTGTTTTGACGTCGTTGATTCGTTACTAAATTCTTGAAACATGACATTTAAGCCGCTTTTGTTATGTTTAAAGGTGAAACTGTCTGTCGGTGGCGTGACCTTTCCTTTGTTGTGCATTACTGAACACCTGAGAAGGGATAAGTCAGCAGGGGTAAGTGAAATTGAGAGTTTCATGCGGCCAATAATGGCACCAATTATTAAAGTGGCCAACGTATTGGTAACTAAGATAATAGAGATATCCAAATAGCCCTCTCGACGTACAATAGGGATCTGGGTCAAATAGCTCTAGGCCTAAATGATAGTGGTGGAATTATTGATGGGAAACCAACCCCTTCCCACCCCCACCAACTTTCCCGCAGCAGCAAAGAGATAACTGAAACAGAACAAAATAGTAGGTAAGGGGTCCTCCCTCGGATTAAAAGTCCTTGATTTGCGCATTCCGTTTTTTAAAATACAGTATAGTTATTTTCCAAGGCTATATCGGAAATATTTAACGACTTGAACAGTCACGCAATCTGGGCTTTTAAATTTTCAGCCAATCCAAGTCTGGATCCTCTAGAGTATTACTTCAAGATGAACTTAAAGAATTTGCCCTCTGATCCAAGGAAACTGTTTTCTGGTAAAAATGGGTTCATTAGGGGAGTCTCAGATAGCATTACTTCCTCACGCGCTCCGCTAAATTACATTTTATTCTTGTTAACAAACTTTCCAAAATTCACATGACCAATTATTTACAGAGACTTTACAATTAGTGAGGGGTCGAAACATTTTTTTTTTTTGCATAGACAACAGAAGGTCCCGGGTTCGAATCCCAGTTGAGGCACATATTTTTTCACGCTCGCAGATTTCTCTTTTTTTCTATATATATATATATATATTCAAATCAAGTTGCTGCTTAGTACTGGGAACACAAATGTATAAAATGTATATGTATCTTTAATTTACTTTGTTTTATATTGTTTATCAAATGTCAAATGTCAGTTAAAATGTTTGTCGTCACGAACTGAAAGTTCACGTGCGGATCTTAGCACCCTGTTTTGGGTTCCTTCATATAATATTTCGAAAGATAATCAAAAACAGAATTCCTCAAACCATCTGAAGCATATCCAAACCCACAGTGCTCTATACTTTAGATATCATTTTTCAACATTATTTATTCGGAAATCACAATCCAACCGGCCATAGCCAGGGCGTTTTGACCACAAGACTCGGTGTAGTAAATGCGTACGTGTGCTATACCGGTCTGTAACAGTGATCATCAATTGCTGACGTCATAGACCCATCAAACGTCAAAATAACTCGCTGCTCAAGGTTTAGTCGACTCCAAGCTCCCGGTCGACTGATATCTACCGATTACCTCCTCCTGTAGGCTGGCTGAAGTAATACTCAAGTATTCACGGGCTCTTGAACTGTAGCTTGTCTTCGGCAAGTTTCTATCGACCCCGAAAATCGGAATTATAGGTCTCGTGTGCCCAGATCCAACAATCTTACTAGTTTGACAAGTACAAGGTAAGTTATTAGTGATCACGTCGAAGCTTCATTGTAACTTTCCAAGACTTTGAATTATGTTTCGGGAAAATTATTCTTTTATTGCTATCATAGTGTACGTTCAACACACAAGGAACGCGGATTCTCTTATCGTATGATGCTAAGTTGATCGTTCTTAGGCATATTTATTTCAACCGGACCAATCTTCATCCAAATTATAGGTAAACTTGCAAAAATTTCTTTGCAATTGAAAATGATATTTTAATATAACATCACGATACTGACAAATAATATTTATAATCACACAACCTACTATAATAAAGCAACGTTGTAATATTAATAAACTTAATTAAGTTGCGTCCTTGATTGTTGCAGGGGGAGAAACCGCTGTCGTTTTTAGTTACACTTTAAAGCCAAGAACCGTTGTCGCCTAGCAATACATTCATTGATCAAATACTCATGTAATTATAGACACAGTTATAGTACCAATGTTTACTCCATGACATGGATCGGTTTCTGCTGATAGTGGATTTCCAGCCAGAGTTACACAGTAGCCAGCCCATGGGAGGGAGGAAGTCGTTATAATGAGTTTAACCCTCATTTGTGGTTTTGATATAAAACAATAATCAAGCACTTGCTTTCAGCCAAACGTCACAACGTGGCTTAGTTTTGGAAGTCAGTGTCTGATACTTATTTAAAGCTGGTACTATGGAGGGTTAATGTTATTCCTCTAAAGCCCATTTGAAGGTCTATTTTCAGACAATGATTTTACAGTATTCTGGTAATATCTGATATTTATATTGTCGTCAGTTCAATACGAACAAAGAATCTAAAAGATATACCTATTACTCTCAGATGCATAATTTCCGTATACATTTTAATTATATTGGATTGTTTATCATTGTGACTAAACTAAATATTTATTTTATAATCAATGGATTTCATTTATTTTTTCCAGTAAAACACATTACATATAAGCACAGAAAAATTCAAAATAGAGAAACAAATCAGTCGTGCTGGACAGGATTGCTCAAAAGCGTTCTAGAAATTCTAGAACATCTGTCAAGGATCCCAGCTCTTCAAAACACGGCTGTCATATATATATATATATAAGAATACCACAATATTTTTCAACCTCAATACCATATAGGCAAAGCCTAATGAATTTTATTATCAAAACTCGGTATACTATATATATATATCTGTCTCTTATACACATCTAGATGTGTATAAGAGACAGCTGGTAGGATGATGTGGCATTTATTGTCACTAGTGTTTATTGACACGAACTTTTCTACTTAGGTGTTTTCTAAATTAACGTGGGTGTCTTTCTTCGAGAGATTTTGATGTTTTTGTGTAGAAATTTACTCTATCTAGTGTCGAAGTATGTCAGTTACCAGCTGAGACTTGTTTATATTTTTTTGTCGAACTGTCCAAGCAATGAGGTAGTTTAGCAGATTACCATTGATTTATCTAGTTGGGGTTTCTAAATGTCAATCCGAGTACCTGTAATTTACCTCAACGTATGTTACCATATATGCTCTCCAATCAATTTGAGGCTGACGTGTTTTAAACAGAAGACCTATTGTCAGTTGTTATTGTGGTAATTAGCTTTTGAAGTTTTTTCTTGGTAGCAAACATTCTATGCACGTAGCCAACTTAGTGTTTTGGAGTTTTTGGTGTTTTTTTTTTTTTTTTTTTTTTTTTTNNTTTTTTTTTTTTCTTTTTAGCAAGAAACATATACATTACTTATAGACAGATGCTGATTCATTTATCATATAGTTATGATTGTGTCATGTGGATGTGTGACGTCGGTGGTGATCCAAATTAAAATAATAATAATATTCTGATAATTCGCGTTCACAAATTTTGAAACTTGAGGTTCATTTTTGTAACGCGGTCAGGTGTTGACATCCAATGATTTATAGTATCGTTTTATATTCCACCTATCTTACTATCACATTATCTGAATTAAAAAGTTATTACGTTTTTATTCCCAATGTAAATAGATACGATGTCTGGGAAACATGTTACGTTCATCCTTGTGGTCTTTCTCTGGCACTACGGAAGTTCCCAAGTTCATCCGCAAGTTCGTCTAGCCGGAGGCTGGGAGCCTCATTCAGGTCGAGTTGAAGTTTTCTACAATGGAAACTATGGAACAGTGTGTGACGATAATTGGAGCATTGAAGCAACGCACGTCGTCTGTAAGGAACTTGGTTTCAGAAAGGGGGAGACGTTCCATTACGATGGCAGATATGGCCCAGGAGGTGGTGAGTACCGTGTTATTCTTCTGAAACGCTGTAGTTTTCAAAATAGCACTAATGAAAATAAATGGTTACAGTTGAGCAAGACGTTCTGCTCGGACTTTCAGCCGTTGATCATTATAAGTTGACTTCCCCCAATCGCGGGGAGCTCGTGTACCATCTTAGTCTATTGAAATGTTTAAATATTAAGCCTACTACTAGGTTGTTTATATATTTTTTGTTTTAGGGGAAATTTTATTGGATAACACACATTGCAATGGCGATGAACTGTCAATTTTCGATTGTGAGCATAATCCTATTGGGCGCCATGATTGCAGTCACGCTGAAGATATTGCTGTCACATGTGTTCCATTACCGATAACGGAGCCACCCCCACCGGTACGTACTCAACATAACTTTGTATAATTATTATTTTTTATTATAAAACGAACAAGGTGCCGTAAATGAAGATGACGAATCAAGTTTTCACTTTATATACTCCTCTCAGATATTTCGTTAACTTTATCATCATCATTATCGTCATCATCATCCAGGGATGTCACCAGCTTTTTGGAGTGCCGTTTCGGCGATCATCCCGCGTTTTCCCGGGGGGGGGGGGGGGTCGGGGTCGCCGTATTCGTGAAAGCTCTTAAAAACCAAAAGGCCTAAGTCGAGCAGGCCTAGGCCCAAGGCTAGCTGACGCGATTTTTTTAGACTAGGCCCAAGTAGGCCTAGGCCAGAATTTGAGGAATGCAACAGATGAAGATGAGACTTACTGTAGGCCTAATTAAATTCAATAGTTGACATGCTTTGTTTTAGATTAAAAAATAATAATGAACAAATCCCGGCGACAAAGCGTCGTTCCGACTGTCAACTTCACATGCTTGGCGTGTGTGTGTGTGTGTGGCCGCAGTTGGGCCGGTGTTGTTTTTTTGTGCATTATTTCGACTTGCTGGATCTCGAATCAGATGCTTGTATATATAGAACTATATAAAGGGATTTTAATGTATAGGAAAAACCCAGGAACAACAAGTGGAATAATGCAAGGAATAATATAAATTGAAACGGAACAGAAGAGAAATCTGACAAAGACAAAAAAGTGTCGAACTTTCGCATATACAGTATTGCGAACGTCATAACCACTTGATCACGAAGGCATTGTGATGATACAATGATACAAGTTTGGAAGGCAAATGGGAAAACCCATAAAACAGCAAACGGCCATATAATGCAAAACAATTCAAAATTAAAACGAAACAGTAGAGAAAATCCGATCAGAATGATAAAATAAACTAAGCATCCACTGGAAGGAATCCCAATATCTGCAGACGGATCCGTTTCGGTAGGGCCCAAACTAGTCCCACGACCACTAATGATTACAGAACCAAACCAAGGCAATATATATAAATGGGCTTAATCAAATTTGCAAAGCCTCGAAAAGAAGCCCCAAAATAAGCCCTTTGGTTTCTTTTCAAGATAGCATGGCTTCGTTCGAAATAGTACAGTACATACACCGTACATGAATTTCCAAGAAATACCGTAACATAAATTAAAAACACGCTTGGTTTATAAAATAGTATGTGATTTAATGCCGGTTAATACACCCCAGGATACAGACTGATGTTACATTGGCCCTATTAATTGTTTTATAGTAGTAATTCCCAAAATTTATAGCATAATTTTAAAAAAGACTTTGCAAAAGTAGCCTTGAAAAGAAGCCCATCCAAAGTTCGACAAAAAAAAAAGAAAAAAGAAAAAAGCCCTGGGCTTCTATTCGAGGTTTTATGGTATATTGTCATCATTTCATCAAAGTAATTAAGTTTCTCTTGTAATATCTGTTCATTTAGTCGACGTAGTCCGCCTCCAGGACATGTTCGTAATAATAGGCCTATTATCCATTTTTTTGTCTGTCGATCTTCCTCTTTTTGGACTTCCGCCACATCAAAACTAATACCTGCGGGGCACCTTCGACGTTTAACCCATATATATATATAAAAGTCGACGGAATGTGTTATTGTAGCCCACATGCGCGTTTTTTGCAACAAATTTGAAATTCTATGCTGTATGTTATGTGAACCTAATAAATGTCGAATCCAAACCACATAGAATGTTTTTATTCATTTTGGTTGCAAATGAAATTTCAGATAACTATTTTCTTACTATAGATATTTTCTTACTATATTTTATTACAGTAATTAAGTTTTTACTGATTTTGTTATTGTTGCACATCTTTACGGTTGTGCCTCTGTTATAAAAGAGAAGCAATAAAGTTACTTTACTTACTTACGGGTGTTGTTACGGGTGTTGTTGAGTTTTGCTTTTTGTTTTTGTTTTAATTCTCTGTTTTACCTGTCACCTTATTGTTTCTATCTGTTTCAAGCTATGTTTTGTATTTTTCTATACATAATTTTAACATTTTCATGTAATGCATACCGTACGCAATTCAGCTTGTAAAGTAGCATTCCAAAAGAGTCCGTTATGCCTAGTATTTCCATGGAAGAAATGAAGCTAGAAGAACACATACTTGCTAGTTATATTGCAATGTTATGTTGATACATTTTGTTCAAGTTTATTTTAAAACAAGGAGCCGTATTTTAAGTACCGTACTTTAAATTAGCCCAGCAGTTTTGTAGGCCCATAAGGTGATAGTGATGGCAAACGTGGATACCGAGAGCCTGTCACTCATTATTAAATGGCGTGCTTTGAACATCTGAACAATGTTTCCAAAGATGTTATCATTCTAGATAGTTATTCTTAGCGCTCCGTTTGAACATTCTTGTCAATATTGAATCTATTAATAAACTCGTCCGGTTTAAACATATCGATGAGGCAGCTCTGTTGTGATTACAACTGTCTCAAACAATAACACCTACGTTAAAAATGTTTTTTTTTTTCTTAATTATTAGATCATAAACTAATGTTTGTTTTGTTCTTCTATAGCCTAAAGAAAGATTTGAACTCCGCTTGAGAAGTAAAAACGACGTGGAACCCATTAATGAAGGAATACTTGAGATGAATTTGGGGAACAATAAATGGCGTACAATCTGCGCAGATGATTGGAATCTCGATGCAGCTAAAGTTGCGTGCGGTGAATTAGGATTTAGTAAAGCTTACAAACCTACAAAGAAATATAGGTAGGTCTAAGGTGACTAATATAATATAACAAGGTCAAAGGTTATAAAATATTTAAATACCTTAAGCCTTTAAACATATTTCACAGTAAATATTGTTAATCCACAATTAATGGCCTATTAAGTTGGACGACACGTTATTTCAAGTTCCAAAACAATCACTGAAACTGGGATTCGTGGTTATATAGTTTTAATATTTTTTGTTTTATACCGCACTGAAAAGGTTAATAACGACTGGTGCCATCAAACTGTAATTTTACGGTATACATAAGCCTATTTTTAGGATTTTATGTTGTAGGCTACATGAAAATTTGAACTTAGATAACATTGCACGTACACATCTGGCATGTAAGTCACGGCAGTCGTTCACCGTCAACTTAGAAATGGTTTAGCCTACACTGTGATCAAAACCATGACAATGTTAAGTTGAACGCTTTTCAAGTGGACTGATTAATAGTTAATGCTGTAAGTGACATGTTTTGCTCATGTTGTTTCTTATAATCTAACCAGTTTTAGCTTCAAATTTATAGAGTCGAGTAGACATAAATAGAACCGCCGACATAAATGTAAACTCCTCTTCTTTTTGTTTAGTTTATTATTATAAATCTACAACTTGCTTTTGTCTTTTGTATTCAGTAATAAAGATTACAGAAGAAAAAGCATGATACGAACAGGTATCCAGTGCATAGGAACTGAGAATTTGCTGTCGGACTGTGAAATTGAAGAACTTGAACATAGAAAATATTGTAAATCACGACGAGCAGTTGCTTTGAAATGCGAAACAGCTGAATATGGACATAAATACAGCAATAGACCGAACCCAGTAGGTACAGGAAAGAAGAATAATGATAAGAAAAAGAATGCTACTCAAGAGGTACAATCTACGCAAGGAAATGTAAGATGGACAATACTCTCGGTGAACATTTATTAGGTCACCAAATCTAATTTCCTCATAAAAACATCAGGCCTATATCTTTTATTTTAATTTTATTAGGGAATGACAACGAGAGAACATATGTAATATAATTTATGAAAACAAGTAGCTTTTTTGCGTGCGCCATACCGTTGTATAATTAATAGGCCTAGGCCTAATCGTAGAAGAATACGGTACGGTGTATAATAGGCCTATGCACCTATGCTCATTGTTGGATAAAATGCCTTGCCAAGAGACACAAAAAACTGATCTAACCCGGCTCGAACCCTCATATTCGAACTATATTCATATTCGTCGCATTATCACGCCCGTGATACCAGGTCAGGTCCAGGAGAATGACTGTGGCGGGGTCATCGATATTATAGTCCCCTAGAGCCAAAGTATTCTATCATTTAAATATTGTGGTATTTACTACAAGGAGGGATAGGTTTGTTTATCTGAAAGTATTTTGGAAGGGGGTTATGCCGCACCACAGAAAGCCTGTTGATTACGAGCTTGATACTTTTGCCCATGGACATTTCACCATTTAATTTAAATAGTCTGTGTAGTATAACATCCTGTGGCGAACGATCGCACTTCCATCTATCAATTACGCAAGTGCGCTGTGGGTAAACGGAAGCAAAAGTGATCTTGAAAAAATTGAAAAGCTGCAAATGCAAATGGCGAGGTGTATTCTAAAGGCTCCAAGAAACACACCCCGTTCTACCCTTTACGGAGACCTCGGATTGTCCCCCATCATCGACTCCCAGAACATCTTCAGACTAAATTTTATCGATCGTATTATTAAATGGAAGAAGATCGTTGGCCAAAGCTGTTACTTAAAGCCCTAACTGCATCTGAAAATATCAATAACTTGAGTTATAAATGACTTGGTTGTGTCGATAATATATTTCAGAAATGTAACATTGAGAGTATTTTCAATTATATTAAAAATAATCGAGATACACCCAATCCTATATGGGCAGCTGAAATAAAACATGCTCTAAAACAAAATTCGTTAAATTGCCGGAAGGATGATATTAAAAGCAAACCTTCTATTGTAAAATATTCATTAATTAAAACGTCACGAAGTATGGAGGAGTACCTTCTAGACGGTACTGATTTTGAAGGAGCATCAATAAAATTTAAGCTCCGTTCAAATACCCTCCCTCTCCAACAGCGAACTAAAAAATGGTCTAATGATCAGAGTGACACTGGAATTTGTAAGGTGTGCAATGGTAATTCCATTGAAGACATTGATCATTTTCTGCTTGTATGTCCAGTTTTTGAAAAAAATAGAAGGATGGAAATATTACACTTTAAAAATAATCTCCAATCACTAAACTTTCACCACGTTGGGGATAAATTTAACTCTTTAAATATTACAGACAAGGTATGTTTTATTCTTGGCAAGGAAAATGAATTATATAAAAAGGAAATTATTGTGGAAATTGATAAATTTAGCAAATCATTGTCTAAAAACCTGTGGAAAGAAAGGTAATTATTATTGCATGCCTCTACCTCATAAGTAATCTTTTGTGTTGTTTTGTTTTAATTTAAAATGATTTTTTTATGTGCTTATCTGTATCTTAATAACGTAATAATTTGTTAAAAAGTATTACTACAGTAATGTTGTTTTTTATTTAGTGGTTTTTGCTTTAACACCAATACAGTACTGAATACTGTTATTGTATAATTGTTTTGTATAACTTTTAGTTTCTTTTAGTTTAGTTGTTTTTCTTTCTCATTGAAAGAAAAACAACCACTGAAACAAAAGTGTAGGTTCAGTTGAATAAATAAATATAAATATAGAAGGAGGATAGTAAGTGATGGGTTTGAATACATTGCGGACAATAATTATGTTGTCAAACGTTATTTTCATTTTTTTTTTTTAATTATGTTTTTGTAGTATGAACCAGAGGTACGATTAAAGGCAGGCGCTTACATTGGTGAGGGTCGTGTAGAGGTTTACCATGCTGGCAAATGGGGGACTGTGTGTAAAACTGGTTGGGACCTTGGCAGTGCTAGCGTAGTCTGTAGACAGCTTGGATTTGGATCAGCTAAAGAAGTTATTTTTGATGCTGGATTCGGACAAGGTTTGTAGGCCTATATGATGCGTTTGCATGTTAATGATGTAATTTTGTCGAGCTAGGAGTGCGTCATTGAAGAGCATTTTTACATTTTTGTATTCATTCATTAACTCGTATTCAGCATTTTGGATTTAAAAAAAAGCGAAATACCAACTTTTTTTTTTATCAATGTGTTCAGGAATTGGTCCTGTCTGGCTCTGGGACATGTATTGTAAGGGAAACGAAAAATCTATTTTAGATTGTTACCATGGGATATGGAATGGAAGTTCGTGCACACATTACGATGACGTAGGTGTAAGATGCAATGTGCCAAAACACGATCTGAAAAAGAACGTAAGGAAGCCACTTATTCTAATTATATAAGTTTATCGTTTTATGTCAACTTCTATCATCTTTAACAGACGCAAGATAAATATTATTAATAGCTACTTTCATATGGTTTGGTGGCTCTAGATCAATCAAATGATAGATCACCTGTTTAATCAATCGACCGATCGATATGATAAAGGAATCAATTAATCGATCGATCGATAAGACTATTAAAACACAATTTTGATAAGTTAAATTTCTCTTCATTATTCTGTTTTATAAATTTTATCGTACAGGTTCGTATAGTCAATGGTCGATGGGGGTCAGAAGGGCGTGTAGAGGTAATGGTGGGTAATTCGTGGGGCTATGTTTGTGGTGATACATGGGATATGGTGGATGCGTTAGTAGTGTGTCGTCAACTGGGATTGGGGTATGCAAGGCAGGCGTTACCAGTAAGTACAGTGTAATTATATATTATGAAGTTGCTGGATAAAGTTTAAATGAAATAGTAAGAAAAATGAGTAGGCCCTACTTTAGATGTAATAAAACAGAGTAAGATAGTAGTAATGATGATATAGACGATGATTTTACATAGGCCTATACTAATAACAACAACAACAATAATAATAATAATAATAATAATAATATAATAAATAATATTAATAATAGAAATTATTAAATGTGATGATAATTATGATGATGATAATAATAATAACAACTTAAATAATGCCAAAATTAGAAAGATGATCTAATAAACTTTAGCATTAACATTAAATGTTTTGATTTACAAAAACACTTAAATAATACGTAGTTATATCCTTTTTATATACCCTTATAGGCTGTTAATCAATAATTTTGAAGTAATAATTCTATCAGGAAACACTTTTTATATGTCTGTATCTATGTAAACATTAATACACGTAGGTTATCATTTCATATTATAGTAGCAGTAGGCCTAGTACCAGTAGTTAAAAATAATTTATATTTTTATCTATGTTAAACTTACATTTATATTTCATACTTTGTATTTTGATATGAATTGCAATAAATGAATAATTTACCAGAGCTACGATGTATGCTATCGTGACCTTAAGTTGCCTCAATCAAGATGATTCTGATTCTGATAATGATGATGATGATAATAAACGATAACTTAAGTAATGCCGACATTAGAGAGATAATCTAATAAACTTTTCGGTTAGATCAATTTATAAATATTTTGAACTAATAATTCTTTAAATCAGCAAACACTATCTGTATCTAAGTAAACATTAATGCACGTAGTTTAATCATATCATATTATAGTAGCAGTAGTAGTAGTTGAAAATAATTTGTATTTTTATCTCTATGTTAAACTTAAATTTATATTTTGTACTTTTATTTTATATAAATTGCAATAAATGAGTAATTTACCTGATCTACGATGTATGATACCGTGACCTGAAGTTGCCTTGCCCATCATTCCTAGGTGTGACAACTGGTTCACCTTCCGCAACTGGCTTAGCACGTCTTCTTTAATTTTCTTCAACTTCATCTGTAAAACCTCATGTGGCTTGAGTCCTAGTTAAGACGCTACTTATCATGTCAACGTACCTTTTAATTACTTCCTTTGATTGCCTTGTTGTTGAGTTGTATAATAATTTTATATTTTCCATTTTTTTCATAATATAAAATTTAGACAAGGACAAGTGGTGAAATACATAAGTAGGAGCAGATTGAAAAATAATAATTCTTTATATCTGACAACATTACCAAAAAAGTAAACTAAATTACTGTCAGCCGGCTCCCCTTGGTTAGCGCAAACTGATATGAAATCAAAATGTGGACAAACCCCCAATCATCATCCGTAATTATTTATTGTAATATATATATATTAAATATATATATATATATATATA